GTATGCTGGTTTGTGTGTTCTCCAACACAACTCTCACAACGCTTCTCTGAACGCACTCGATCTCCCAACGGGGAGCAGTCCAGTTGCCATTGTTGGGCAAATCCTATGCATTCCTTAGGCATGACATCACGTGAGTGCCATGTGCAACTCCATTGACATTGTTTGTAGGCAGTTAGCAAAGGTGTAAATGATGGTTGCGTGATCACTGAATGCTGCAACATTCACAATTTTGAGGACCGGCCATACGTTTCCTATTCAGAGCTGTCATAACTTTAAACCATCACTGAACAAATGGTCATTAACCAAAGACTATCCATAGAAGGTTCTTTACACCTCCTTTCAACTCTGCACCACCACAAGGGGGGTACATCTCATATTTTTTTAAAAAACCTGGCATAGAGGAACCAGCATGCTGCTCCTCAAAAAAAGAGTCAAGATAAAATCCGATCTTGCACCACCTACTATTTATATGTGCTAACTCCATATACTATTCTGAGGGGGTGGAATTATGTGATTGGTAAGCCCGGATGCTGTCTTGATTGCACATAATCAATTTAAAAATACCTATATTAGGTACGCTCGTGTGTTTTTAAATTTTATTTTTCGTGGTAAACCTTTTTAAAATCTATCATGTGCTGAAATATTCCTGAGAACGAAAACGCAGCGGAGGCAGGCAGACGAAAAGAAACCGTCGTCACGGGCTCGGAGTTCCGCAACTGCTGGCCACACGGGGGCGCCGCTCCCACAGCCAAAATCTTCCGGCATCTCAATTGCCAAGCTCAGCGTCTTGGCCCAAAATGCCCGGGTCCTGCTCTGAGATCAAGCTGCGGGGAAGCTCCTGGCTGTCCTGGGCCCTCTGGGGCAGCTTGGCTCTGGCTCCGGCTTGCGGGTACGTGATCGTGAATTCGGTCTCCTGGTCGGTGCCAAACGAGGTGGAAGAAGAGCTGGACAGCTCCTCCAACGAAGAGGCTCTCCCCGCCCTCCTTGAAGACACCAGCAGTATTTGGAAACAGAGCTACCCGGCCTCGGTGTACAAAGAAGAGGAGATGCGAACCCGGCCGGAAACGGGGAGATCGAAGCAAATCTCTTCGCCGTCGCGGATGTTTTCTTACCGGAGGGAGGGCTCCAAAGGACCGGACAGCCCAGCGCTTCCTCTGGAGCAAGCAGCCAGAACGGCCCGGTTCCTGATGCATCGCCACGGCTGGGGCTTCTTGGCCACGATATCAACCCAAGAAAAGGTACCACCACCTCCGTGAGCCGCCTCTCTTGTAGCAGCCGGGAAAGGAGGCGTTTGCGTTTTCTCCCTCCGAGCGCGGCTCTGCAACAGCGCTGCCGTGTTTCCCTCTCGTCGAGCCTTGTTGCTGCCATTCGGCTCCGTCCGGCCGCGCACGGCTCTACTGAGCCATGCGGTTGTCATTTGGGGACAAATCCACCACAATTGAATAGTGGCTTGAATGAGATGGTTTAATGGGCTTCCTTCCCCAGTCCTGAAAAACAGGAGGATGATTTTGTCTCTTTAGTGACACCTGCAACGTGGCTACAAAGAAGAAAAAAATCCGAAACCAATCAATCAGAGGAAGGAGGTGTCCAATCTCCAATAATATCGGATAATTGTTTGCAATTATAATAGACAGATTCAAATTTGGTCTTTGTTTCTTTACGATTTAAATATGGGGACCAAATTATTAACAGTTGCATAAAGATTTCATTTATCTATTGTACTTTACTTAAAATTCACTAGTACAACACTAACATTGAAATGTATTTTCCCCTCATTATTTAAAGAGTCCTGATAATTCCAGTTCACCAACAATTCTCTGGATAGGGTCAATCAACTGGTTATGAAGTCATCAATTGTGCCATCGAGCTCATATTTAACTCTTTTAATAATGCAATATACAGTATATGATTCATAGGTTGGCTCACATAAATTAATGCTAAGAATGAGATGACCTGGATGAATTTTAACTTAAAAAGAAAATAAGAGATTACATGTTTTGAGGAGAGGAGCTAAAGAAATTAAGCAAAGTATAATATGCTACAGAAATTGAAGGGACAACAGCCACAACAACCTGTAATCTAACTTATTTCATGTAGGTATCTGAGCATGTGTCACCAATCAGTTCACCTGACCTGATCATGAAAAGCTAGGCAGGATAGCCTTTCAATTCCTTGATAGCATTCTGGCTCTGAATGATAGAAATTGTAGTCTAGGGTAGTGAGGAATGTTGGATTGGGGAGCCTTGCTTGCTAACAAAAGTCACAACCATAATTCATTCCATATCTTTGGTCACAAACCAATTTGGTTGTGACCCGAATCTAATTTCGGAAATTTGGCGCATACAAAAAACAATGGTGCGGAAGGGGAAATTAACCACAGGGGAAAAATTGTGAATTTTTTTGGTTGGAACCCGATTTGGTCATGGTCAGAAGCGTTCATTACCAGACTGTAGGTCAAGAACCAAAGAACATACTGTAATTCACAATTAGTCCCATGGACCAAACAAGTCCAATGTTTATTTTAAATGCTGTTTTCTTTTGTCCCAGAGCAAACTCTCTTTGAAAGTAAGAGAAGTATAACAGCATTTTTGGATACAGCTCAAGGAAAAATAGGGATTATGCTTCAAAGAGGAAAAGAAAAAGTTAGGATTTCTCCAGGGCACAGCTCAAGTCAGCATTTTGTTTGTGTGATTCATAAGCAATTTACTTTGCCCTCAAAATTTAAATTCATTCATTAACATTAGGGCTGTACACTGCTTCAAAGTCACCCCATACTGTTCTACCCTAATTAATATCTTTGTTATTTACAACAATATTGTTAAAATTCTTGCAGAACTGGAGGCTATTATAGCTGACTATTAACATTCTTACCATACACTATTACACATGCCAAAATAAATCCTAATTTGATTTTCTTTCTAGCAAGTGTAACCTTGAAGTCACAGCAGAATACTAACTCAGAAAGTGAAGTAAGAATGTTGAATGTTGATTTTATTTATATGCTGCCCTTTTCCCCCCGAAGGGGACTCAGGGCGGCTCACAACTCAAAACCAGGGAAGGGGGG